TAGATCTCCAGACATTTCCCTAGTGCCTGATTTCTCTGTAAACCAAAAATGTCTCCCTCTATTATGATATCTCCATTCTTGTTATCGTGTATTCTTCCTGACTCATACTTCTGCTCTGTTACGATAAATCTTTTTCCTCTTCTCCTCCACTTTCCATTCTCCTAGCTCCTTCCCCCTACTTCCTGTGCTCCCAATTTGCTCAGCAGATCTTGAACCTCTTCTGTTCTCCAGGGGACCATGTATGTGTCTCTTAGGGACCTCTTGTTTATTAGCTTCTTTGGCAGTGTGGATTGTAGGCTGGTAATCCTTACTCTAAAATCTATGTCTAAAATCCGCAAATGAGTGAGTGCACATCATGTTTGTCTTTTTGCGATTGGGTTACCTCGCTCAGAATGGTTTCTTCTAGATCCATCCATTTTCCTGCAAATTTCATTGTTTTTTTTCTGCAGAGTACTCCATTGTGTAAATGTACCACATTTTCTCTATCCATTCTTCGGTTGAGGGGTTGACATCTTGTTTTTCACAGAAAATCACCGCCCAATGTGATGTGAACTAGTTATCATTAGTGCATGGACTGTCGCGGGTGTGCTTGGATACGGGTGTAGGGAAGGGTGTGATATGGAAACAGAAACACTGCCCTTAAGTTCAGAATGTGGGGAGAGAGCTGCTTTGAAATACCTGCCAATGGCATTGACCACACCTAGTTACATGGTCACACCAGTAAGAGAGGCTGGGAAATGGCTATCAGCCGGGTAAACACATCGCACTCAACTTGGCAGGGAAGTTTGTGCTTCTCTACTGTTAGAGCGGCAGGAAAGATCTGCTTTTAGAATGATTGTTTTCTGGCTTTTTCACTGGTGTCTCCAAGTAGACAAGCTGAAAAGACATAATCGGAGCTCAGGCATTTCCCTTTGGGATTTAAGGCAGACCTTCCAAGTTTTCTTTTCTTTTGTGAGGTTGAGGACCCAACCCAGGGCCTTGTGGATGCTAATCACATGCCCCACCACTGAGTCCCAGTACAGCCAGTTCCTGTGTTGTTATGAAGACTTTTTTTTTTTTTTAAATCTGTTTTCTTTAGGCTAATTTTCTACCTGTCGTTTTTTTGTGCACCTAGGTATGGCGCAGTCACAAGGCTGGCTGAGAAGATACTTCAAGGCCTTCTGTAAAGGCTTCTTCGTGGCAGTGCCTGTGGCAGTCACTTTCTTGGATCGGGTGGCCTGCGTGGCACGAGTGGAAGGGGCGTCGATGCAGGTGAAAACGAATTCAGCTTTGTTTTGTAAAGCCTGTGCTTCGCTGTTTCTCACACTCTGGAAATCAGAGCTCTCCTCAGTGTGTCTGTGCTGGGACCCGAGAGGGTTTAAAAAGGCGTTGAAACTAGAATTTCACCTTTCCTACTTTCCTTAAAAGGCTTCTAATACACTATTATTATAACCATAGTTGAGGTGTATAGAATTAACTTCTGGGTCTGTGTACTTCGATTTTTCTGTGGATTACAAGCGGAGACAAAGAAAATCTATTAAATGGCATCATTTTCTGTGATGATGGCTACAGTTAAACACCTGTTTAAAATTAAATTAGCCAGGCGTTGGTGGTGCACACCTTTAGTCCCTGGCAGAGGCAGGCAGATCTCTATGAGTTCGAGGCCAGCCTGGTCTAGAGAGAGAGGGTTCTAGGACAGTCAAGGCTACACAGAGAAATTGTCTTGAAAAAAAAGAAAAAAAAGTGCTATTGTAGGATTTGTTTAGGTCATAGTCAGTGACTCAGCATATAATTTCAGTTTGTCAGAAAATCTATGTGACTGATTCCAGGCATTGTTGATTAAAAACACATTAACATTTTAAAATTAATTATCATTATTATTGTTGTGTGTGTTATTGTGTGTGTTCAGGTGTATGTGTGTGTGTATGTGAGGTGTGTGTTCAGGTGTGTGCATTCTGTAGCTATAGTCTATATGTAAAGGTCAGAAGATAATTTTATGGAGTATGAGTTTATTTGTGTCCCAGGGATTGAATTCTTGGAGCCAGGCTAGCTCAGCAAGCATTTTTATCTCCTGAGTTATCTTGTTAGCCCGCACTGATTCAAAATATTAAATGCAGTTTATAGTGGAAGAACTTTGAAGTGGAGATTTCAAAAAATTTTTACAAGCAATTTTGTATAATAACTCAGAAGGTTTTATCAAAGAACTGTTGTTTCGAGGCTAACTTTGTGAGAAGTTTATGCAGCTAAGCAGCTTGCATTTTGTAACAGGATTTTCTTGGTTGTCATTGGCATGTATTAAGGTCACACGCTGTGCAGCATAGCTCTGTGAAATACATACATAGAATATATGGACTTTCAAGAGATTATAGCCATGCAGAGTAATCCAGTGAGTTTTTTACTTTTGTTTTACTTAGAGCCAGTTAAAGCACCAGTTTTAAGGACTAAGGATGAATGTACCTTATCATAATTATGGTGTTAAAAATCAAACCCTTTGCTAAGTATGGAAGTCAGTGAGATAAGGAAGTTCAGCAGATTGTCAGGTTGTGGCCTCTGTGGAAAGCTAATGTTCAAGCTAGGTTGTATTTCCATTTACCTCTGCTTCCATCATTTGAGGGTTCTTTAGCCCTCCTCTTCATCAGATGAGCTTGACCTCAAACTATCCATTGATGGTTCCTTCCACAGGTCACCAGCCAAGCATAAACTTGGTTATTATTAATTTGATGAAAGAAATATTTTAATGAATGTGGCATTATACAAGGAATATGATTTATAGGTGTATGCCTTTGTTTATAAATACAGTTTAAAACATTTAAGAAGGCTTCATCTTTATTTTTTATCTCTTCAGTTTTCAGTTCCTAGCAGCCTTGTCTTACAGGTAACCTGCAGGGGGGAAGGTAGATTTGTTTTTAGAGCTTTTGAGTCAGACTTATCATTTCAGATTAAAGCGGCTTCTCCACAGCTGACCAAATCCTTTTTGGAGCCCTAGGATCTTCTAGTAACAATCAGATTAATAATGATTTTCTCCAATGTTCTTAGTGCTCTTTTGCTGCACAACTGCCACCATCTATAGAAGAAATTTTTTTGCGGAATACAAGACCTCCTTACTTTGAATCTAATGATATTTCAGGGGATTATGTGATAATCACAGTATCTTAATCTTCATTTCTACTGAGAACATATAGTCATGGCTATGGTGGGGAGAGCCAAAGGCATTCATTAAAATATGTGAAGTACGACTCTTGCTCACAAGACATTGATTGTTTTATGGAAGAACAAAGTTTATCCCTAGTGAGGAAGGCAAAGAAGAAAATGTTAAGTTGTCCTTCCCAGATGGCATTCAGCCGACTGTTATTAGCCTTCCATAGATACATTTGAGTCTGCAGATACATTAGTAAATACTGCATTATTCCCAGCTCTACTCATAGCAAGTCAGTTTATTACCTTGGAGTTTCTTTGGCACAGTATGCCAAATTCCCTTAGTTACAGGCTAAAGAATAGCTTAAATTTACCTAGGTCTGTAAATTCATTGGAACTACGACAGGAGCAGCAGCTTGGCAGCTGTCACGGAGAACAGTGGCAAGCAAAGCTGTATGCTCAGCCTTCTCTCTGATGCTATGTTCTGCTTCTGTTTACATCTTTGTATAATTCTTTCATGTTAGCTTTTTCTGCCATCTGTGGCAGGACACGAGTGATGCTGGCCACTCTCCTGCTTTAAAATGTCCCATTCTGTCACCCCCTGAGAAATTACTCTTCTTTGTAATTTCAGCTAGAAAAATCTGGGGGCAGGAGGAGACCATGATTGATTCAGGTTCTATCAAATGCTCTTTCATATATTTAGGTCAACTTTGGCCATCGTAGAGAGTGTTATGATTGATCTAGCTTCGGATAAGTGCAAGTCTTGCCTGTGTCTAGACTAAGTGATATATGAGAGATTTAGGACACACACACACATATTTTTCCCCTCCCTCCCTCCCTCCCTCCCTCCC